TATATATATATATATATATATATATATATATATATATATATATATATGTACGGAGAAAGTTTTTTCTTAGAATTTACCCTGAAATCATAGTAATTGTGGGACATGTTACTACGAAGAATTTTATGCGAGCTATTCTAAATAATATCTACCATAAATAAAAAATATTAATATTTATTACATTAAAATATAAAATATGTCTGATTAATTGTACTAAAATTATATCTACGAAATTTCAATAATTTTTCAAAAATTACCAATCTGCTTGATAATTTTGTCACGTTGTTTGTAAAATGTCTTTTGTATATTTCAAAAATTCCTTGGTTGCCAAGTTCTCCCAAGTTTGTAGTGAATTTAACGGTAAAATATAACAATGTATAAACGCATAAACGTATTCGAATAAGGCAAATTTAGAAAATTAAACTGTCGCACAATGCTAAATTCGTTTACATCAATTATATTTCCATTTGTTTGCTTCTTTGTATATTTTTAATATTCAGATACACACTTTTGCTTTATTAAGGTGGAAGCACATAAAATTGCAGGAGCCATGAGCAGAATGCAGAAGCCATATGCGCATGCGCTATGGTATCTGTAGAGCTCTAACAGATACCATCGCGCATGCGCATATGACTTCTGCATTCTGCTCATGGCTCCTGTATTTTATGTGCTTCCACCTTTATAAATAGGCAGAAAGTGGAAGAAAGGACGCTTTAAAGGGTATTCTAAAGTCGAGTCCGGACTTCTATCATATCATCCTCTTAACAAAATACAAATACTTATATTGGTTATAACAATACGCCAATGTTTTCAATCCGTATTTGTATCCCCCCAGATAACAATTCGTGCGGGGTCATATTACCTTCACGGCGTGATTATCACACCGTGCATACACGAACGCATCATGCTCGCTTCACGAAGTGATTTTGGCATACGTGCGCGTATAGAAGGTTGCACTATGCCATCACGTGTGATTACACGTGTGATGGTACAGTGATTACGCACACGTGATGGGATAGTGATTACACACACGTGATGGCATATTGAACACACACATGATGACATAGTGCGATCTTTTACGATTAATATATAATTGATGATGAATTATAATATTGATCGTAAAAGATCGCACTACATATAAAAATAATATTTAAATATCAGATAAAATGGCAAAAACGTTACAAATACGTATAAATTCGGGTACGTATGCCAAAATCACTTCGTGAAGCGAGCATGATGCGTTCGTGCATGCACGGTGTGATAATCACGCCATGAAGGTAACATGACCCCGCATGAATATATTATAATTTATAATATCCGCGCGCGATTTATTATATTATAATATTTAATAACAAAATGCCCGCATAGCGATTAAAATAGCAATTTTAATGTAATTGTTATTTTATTATATCATTTTATTAGTTTTATTATATTATTTAATTATGCAAATTGTGTGGGTATATATATAATGAGATCGTGAAATGTGTTGTTTCTTCGAATGTGTGACACAAAATTGTGCGAGCGCGAAGCGCGAGCAGCGTAGAGGGCGGTCGGGCGTCGGTCGAAATAATTGAGGAAATAATTTGCGTATTACGCCAATGAAAATATATCTTATTTTGAACTTCGATGGATCATGACGTTCGAAGATAAATTATTTGAAGTGTTTTATTTACGCGATTTAAAAATAAAAAGATATAAATAAGAGGAAATAAAATTATCAATCATAAGTAAGTTGACAGGAGTCTTAAACGAATCCGAACGACAGGTAATAAAATTTGTAAATAAGGTTTTATATTATAAGATAAAACATGTTTAATTTTATTACAGATTAAAACATGAATTTTATTGTAGCAACAGTATTTGGAATTTTTTTGAACTGTTTGTATTTAAAGATCGAGGCTAAGGAATCTTTATTCAAAGAAGAATATTTGCCAGAGATTTTAAACGACGAAAATTCAACACCGATATATCCTCCTCTTCCAGTGTATTGCGTGGATGGATATAAATTTCCAATAGAGGGATCTCCTTCGTCTTACTTGGAATGTATAAATGGTTATTTAATTAGAAAAGAGTGTCCGAGAAATTATATATTCGACAGTCGATTGAAAACATGTATCTACGACAATTAATATTGATTATATGTTTAAAATATTTAACTGCAATATGGAATGGCATACCGATCGACAATACTAAACATCCGTATTACGTTTCTACGATTCATAAAGATTATAATATTTCTTGGTGTTCCGGAGTTATTGTTGCTTCGAATTTAGTTTTAAGTGCGAGACATTGTAACGGTAAAAATGAAAATTTAGTGAAATATGTAAAAACGATTCCACAAAATTATGATCCTTCATTGGATACAGAAGGTAAATTGTACAATGTTATCGATTATATATTTCCAAATATACCGTATGGCGAATTAGGATTTGATATTATTTTATATAAAGTTAATGAAACATTTGATTACAATAAAAAAGTTCAACCTATAGAAATAGCACCTCAAAATGTACAAATAGGTAATCTTTATTATGAAGGTTCTGGAGAAACAAATACTCCTACAATGGATCATAAAGAATCTTTAGTAAGAGGAAGATTTCCAATGGTAGGTGATATTTCAAATTTATTAAAAACAGGAAATATTGTACTTAATATGTTTTCACGGCTACTTGAAATCAGTTGTTTTCACACCTATTCAAAATTAGTAAGTAAATCACGGTTTTTCAATAAGTTTCAAATTATTATTTAACAACACTTTACTTTTAGGTTGTATCTAATCTTTCCGTATTCATCAATGGATCGTTTAAGTTTTAATGAATTAGCTGATATTTAAAAATAAAAATTTTTAATTTAAGAAATAATTAAGAAAGGGGGATGTCAAGCGGATTCTAAATTACGATTTTTGAACATAAAAGTGGCTATAACTCGGAAACGGCTCATTTCCGGATCTATGTTTGTATGAACTTTTTTGCTTGTTTTTGGGTCCCGAATCACCTCCCGAAGTGGAGTAGGCGATTTTTTGGACACCCTGTATAATGAAAAATATTTTATAAGGGTCGATTCAGACACAGCCGTGCCGTATCCGTACCGTGCACGAAACAGAAACATCAGACAAGGATGGAGACAACATTAGACAAGGATGGAGACAATAGGTATCCTTGTCTGATGTTCTGTTTCGTGCACGGTACGGATACGGCACGGCTGTGTCTGAATCGACCCATATAATTCTACTTTTAGATAACTGCATATTGGATATTCGTTTATATTTTATATTCGAATGGTCAAGAAATTTATAACGACGTGACATATATTTCGTCGTTGAAAAATGAAATTGACAACAACATTGAAGAATCATTTGATTCGTTCGAAGAAAAAATCAATTTGACGTATAATTGTGAGGATTGTACCACGGTCGATTGGGACGAGAAAAATCAAAATAATTATTGTCTTACGGCGATAGGAGATTATGGAGGATCTTGCGAATATAATTTATCGAAGGTATATCAAACGAATATAAATGTTCTTAATGATAATGTGCAATGGAATATGTTGATAGATATAAATACGTATTTAGGAGATTTCACTTTGTTAAATTCCAAATATGGAATATTATATGGTTTTGTTAACGAATCTTTGCATTGGTTGACAAATGACGAACCTATTGTTCCTTATATTAATTTAGAACGTTTTATGTATTTGAAAGGTGATAATAAGGAAATATCATATTTAATAATGCAATGTTTCATTGATCGTTTTAATTATAATACAACTTTTAATTTAAATTTTATAACAGATTCAATAAAAATAGAGATTGAGAACGATTTATTTTTAAATATAAATTTAAATAATAAAATTTTTAATGATATAAATGCAGCGGTATTAAATTATATATGTAATGAAAATAAATGTTATAGACAATTTTTAGCATTGAATACAGAAGTTGTAAATAAGAAAAATTTATTATTGAATGAATCTTTAAATATAAATTATGATCAAATATTGAATAATTATATAAACGAAGATTTACAATTTTGTCGATTGTATTATATAGAAAAAGAGGATTATAATATAAATTATACTAATATTTTTACTGACAATTTTATTCATGTTTAGGTTCTAAACCTTAAAAAAGCAGCGCCAAGTTTTTTACAAGAAAAATTTATTTATTTTATTTTAATTAAATATTTTTATTTTATAATGTTACCTCTTTAATTCTTTGTGATTAAAATAATTTTTTGTAATATTATAATTTTATCAAGGAGAATTAAAACTACTACCACTTGGGTTGATAGAAAGACTCTCAGGAATACAAAGATACATATCACTTGGGCTGAGTTAGATAACACAATTTTGTTTTATTTTTTAAAAGTAGTTGCATAACAATTATTTTTCAAAGTATATATATTTTCTTTGCAATTGGCGCAATTTAAAGATTTCACATCTTTTTTGAAATACGTATCACTTAGGTTGAATTAGGTAACGCAATTTTGTGAATTATTTTGTTAGGAAGAAATAAAGCTACTACTATTTAAGATTTTTAGATTTACAACATACATTGCGCGTGTACTTGGCGCCTTTTTTTACCTTTTTTTGAAAAAGGTAATTTTGTACTGATTAGCATATGACGTGGAGCAAACTCTTGTGACCATCTAACACTATAATGTTATCGTCAAATTTACATAAATATGTATTCTGTTGCATGCTATTAAAGCGGGGAGCACACACTTCTGCATAACGCATAATGCGTAAGCATAAGAAAATTGATTGGTCTATTTTCTTATGCATATGTATATAATGATTGTTTTACTTAATTCCAAATTTTTGTACTTTCTAAATACACGATAAACAAATGCATATTTAGTTTCAGACAATAAAAAATAAGTTCCAGATCAAATTCTTTCGATCAAGCAAAGTGTCGAGTTTACCCCGGCATTTTTCAATTTGAAAATTTGTCTTCGCGTCACTTTTCTTTTCCTGGCGGCAAAACAGAGCGACGTACAGCAAAACTTTCTGAATCAATTTTGTACCTGAAGGAACACTCTTTAAATATATACTATTGAATTTGTCTAAAAATTTTAATTAATTATAAAAAATTGTCTTTGAAAAAATAGTGTCGAGTTAGCCCCGGTCTCCCCTACCAAGTAAACGTGAAGTAATAAGAAGTAAAATTTGTGATTCGTGCATGCAATTATGATATATCTAACTATTATATTCTTAACCTGATCTAATCTAATCAACAATCAGTACAATTGTTTTTTATAGTTGTTACAGTTGTTATCACTATACTATACTATATTTAATGCCATAAAGATTGGTTAAATATTTAATGTTAATAAACATGAAACAGATTAGTATTTTTATTTTCCAAAACTGTGTGGTTATCGCCGCGTATTCTAAAAATAAAACCAAATAGCTATACCATTGGTGTTGCAAAACATTTAATTATTCAATCAATCGATTTCGAGCTTTTTAAAGCTTCCTTCAACTCCAAACAAATCCGTTGCTGTCTTCGCCTTGCCCGGTCGTAACGCCTCATTAACGCGATGACCTTCTTCCTCTTGGAACCAAGCAACGTGATTTACCAATTTTTTGACTTGTTTATCATGTAACTCCTGTAGAGAACCGGCTTGACCGCCTGCCTCATTCGGAAGAATTTCGAGCGGTATGAATTTCTCCAGAGTGTCGTTTGTGGTATGCATATGAAACTAGAATTTATAGAAACGTATAGTTCAAAACTTTTTTCATCAAATTATATTCCGCTCTACGCAATTTTTTCCAAAAATAAAAATATAATTAAAATACGTATTATATACGCACTAAAGAAGTAAAATACACAATATTTCTCTTATCTCTTAGCATTTAAAATTATATTATCAAATAGGAAATTTGATCTTTTCACTTTTTCACTTTTAATATAATGACATGGATAATTGATCGGTAATGTGTGTGTATATATATAATTTAAATCTTACCATATCCATCAACTGCTTTTTCATGAATGGTTTCATCATATTCATAATGACATCTATTACCGGAGAAGAATTCATAAAATGTAAACCCTTCAATCTGACAGGTAATCCTTCTTGTAGATAGTAGAGCCATTTCTTTAGGCCCATAGGACTCAAACGGCCGACGTGACCGAAAGAAACGTTTTTCATGTCAATTAATATTATGTTGCCTTCGCAAGTGCCCTCGGTGTAAAGCCATAGATCGATTACCATATTTTGCAATTTCATCACATCGTTGTAAACAAAATGCGATGGATCGCTGTCTAGGAGTCTTCCATAAATGATATTATAGCCTTCTTTAGTAGTTCCTTCCAAAACTTGTGCTGTTCTGTCGATAATAAGATCACTTTTACTTTGTATGCGAAATTTCTCTGCGAGAAATATTGCTGCATCCATTTGTCGTGTATAAGGAATACCACACACACACACACACACACACACACACACACACACACACACACAC